TATAAAACAAAATTTATTAAAATACTGAATTATATTATTTATTTAAATTTCATGAAATTTGCAAACACTAATCATAACTATATAGAGGTTAACGTTAAGTAGGTTTTTCTCTTAAACTGAACGTGCGAAAACAAAAAAAATTATATCAATATTAGATTAATAAATTTACTTGCAGAACGAATGACAGCCGTAGGGTATACCTAGGCCATCGCTTGATAGAACTTACCTAAATATTGATATAGAAGTTATTAGTAGGTGCTTTTAGGCAGGTATATGTTAGTTGTTTAAGAGGTGAAGATATTTGAAATTAATACTCTTAGCCCAGATCGTTATTTTCTATACGGACTAACAAGTAGGTATTAATAAAATAAAATTGATCCAAAATGAAATCCAAAAATAGTGCGTTGTTTTGATTGTTCAATATTCGACCTTTCTAAACAACAGTCTATTATATTATGCACTATTTTACAACAAAGTAGGTACATAATATTATTTGGGTGCGAATAATATACACACTATATAGTGTTTTTGTAATACAAAATATTAAAGGTGTTTTAAATCTTTGTGGTTATATTATATTACTATATTAGCGAAACAATTAACTCGACTCTACAATATTATTTAACTAATTAGGTATATCACTATATAGTTGAGTTGTAAAAGTGACTTTTAAAATGAAGTCACTCGTGTATTATGTAACTCAGTCCGAGACAATATAATTAGATTCTTAACCAATATTGACTTACAACGTTTTATCTAGCGCCGATGCTCTGCAGACTTGGTTATAATATTATAATAATATTTTATGTATATTTATATTATAACAGTGAAATGTCACTGCCACAGAGTTATCTTATGAATATAATATATAGAACTCGATTACAATATTATATCTATATATTATATACGTCTATATATTTAGGCACGACTTATATTATTTTACGTCGGAGCTGCTGCGACTATATTTTAATAGTCGTTGATTATAATAAATGCTGCAAGTCGGTAAAAATGTAAACGTTTGATCTAATAATTAGGTTGGAATAACGTCATATACATATGCCTGCCTATATAGTGCCTATACCGGCTATATTATATAGTGTTACATCGTGTCGTAACTATATTTAATAAAGTCCAACACTATAATAAGTATAATGTCGACAAAAAAAAAAAAAATGATTTAAAAGCATAAGTATCGGAGAATGGGTAGTTCGAGTTATGTAGACTTTAATGGAATTATTTTCAAGTAATTTTGATGGCAGTTCGATTAGGTTTATTTTATCGTTTGTAATTTATATACCTACGTAATTCAAGTTGACTCTCTCTCTAACCAAATCGTTAAATTTTTCTGTAATATCTACACATTTTAAGAACCAATTGATGATATTATATGTATTGGTAGGTACCTATGTATATGGTTTTCTGCCAATAACATAATTTTATTATTAGCAATATATAGCTATTCGTCAAAAAAAGTTATATTTTTAACAGGTAAGTTATAATATAGAATAAAACGTGTTGAACTAAATATTATAACGTCGTTTTTGGTGCTTAAGCAATAAATATAATTTTATCTATAATTCTATAATATTATTGTAGATTGCATCATCACTGTTTTAATGTATTGACAGCGCAACAACTATACTAGAGAAGCTAAATGTTTGAAAATATAAAAATCACCAGGTCTCGAACGAGCGGTGGGTAACTCGGCCGAATAAATAAATAATGAATAGTGATTCGAAAACAATTTAACTACAATTTTTTGAAAGGCAAATCGTCGTGATGTACCTATACAATTACCCAATAAATTTAACTATATTCCAAACAGCACTGTGTCTATATGACATATTCCAACCGCCGCAGTAGGTATAGAAAAGCCGTAACTATAGGCGAAAATATCTTGTGATTAACTTAAGAAATATTAACATTAATTATTGACTTATTGACAATATAATATAATAATATCATTAGTTTAATATTTTGCATTTGCTATACGCACCGTCCGATAATTTTTAATATAAAATCTTCGTTGATCGATCAATTGTATTTTTTAAATGGTTTTAAATTTAGGTGTATTTTAGTTGGCCACTATAGGAACACGATAATAATAATGATATAAATAAAAATAATTACATTACCCGTTTATAAACCATAAACATTGTTTGAGACTGTATAAATATTTAAAAATGCATTAATTTGTACGGTTTCGCGATTTTCATCGATAAAAAATGTACCTAGATGAATTTATTTAGATTGGTAAGACAAATATCCAAGACGAACGTAGGTAACTATTTATCGAGATAAGATAAAAGATGAACAAATAATTACCTAGGTACCTAAGTCAGAACACCGCTGAGTCGTCTATAGCTTTGCAAATTATCGAATTATTATTAGAACTTGATGTACAAAATCGAAGGGGACATATGGGTGCTCCGTCGGAGCTGACGTGTCAGAAAAACACCAAAATTTTCGAATCGCCATTGTAGACTGTAAAAAAAATATATTGTTTGGGCGCATTGCTAGAGTTCTGCCCAGGGATAAAAAAAAAAAAGCGGTTAAGTGGATGTCGCTCTGCTGCACAGTAGGTTACGAGTTGGTAACTGTATAATGGGTTGTTTTAAATTTGAATTCAATGATATCATATATATCATTGTATACGAAAATGTGAGTGCCTTTGTACTCACGAATGATGTGTAAACATCTTAGCTGTATGGTACGACTTTGATTGGGAAATATAATGTCATAGTTTGAGTGGGAATTTGTATAATACATAATATTATACGATATAAACACGGTTTCGCGCGTATATACGTAAACGAGAATAATAAATAATATTAATAATAATAATGAATCGGCCGACGACTGTACCAGAGCGCGTTCGCACCTACCAGACTCGTGAAAATAACAAAGAAAATAATAGATAATAAGAACCAATAAACCAGGCGAGTTGCTATATTATATTATTATCTATTATTTTCTTTGTTATTTTCACGAGTCTGGTAGGTGCGAACGGACGGTGGAAAACGCAAGCCGAAAAACTTAAGGCGCCTTCACAGCTCACCGTGAAACGTGATAATATATAATTTGTTCCCGTAAAAATATTCTTAACCACGACTGTCAACCATACGGTAAACACACGCTCTGAGTAGGATTGAACTCAACTATACGGTATATAAGCGGTATAGATAAGATATTAAGAAAAAAAATGATGGTTAACCATTAGATAACCACATGGTTCAAACAATCACAGTTCTAGAAAATATCACGTTTCACGGGGAGCTGTGAAGGCGCCTTTACGCCCGTCGTGTATAGCTGCTCCGATTTAAACCAATGCTTTTTTAATTCGACGGAAAACGCCGCGGAAACGATGCCGAATACGCGGCGGAATACTATGGCTACGACACACACACACACACACTCAAGCAGTCACATCTACATGACTTACGCCTGACGCTCGATTCCCCAAGAAGGTCGTACCTATACTACAAACCGATAGCATAGATAAAATGGCTAAAGGTGGGTTTCCACTAGATACGTGTGCGAGTGGACGTGCATAAAAATACTTTTCTGTGATTGGTTGGTATGCATGGTAAGCTCTTGGTATACCAGAGTGTTATACGTTCTTACCACAGGCTTGACCATGATACCATGAAGTTGGATCCAGTTCAACTTTTCAAGTGTACACGGCTCTGTATTGATAACAATTTTGATAACATAAGAATATACGAGGTAACTAATAGGTATGTTACCAATGCTAACCGATCAACCGATGGGAAACGTTTGTAAGACCGTCCATAGCGAACGTATCCGGCCAATATATGCACTTAGGGCCGTTCTTACAATGTCCGGTAAAGTGTCGGTTAACGCTAACCGCGACTGATAACAGATTTTATTACCGGCAGATTTCGGCAGGTTAATAGTGTCGGTTAACTTTAACCGGACATTGTAAGAACGGCCCTTAAACGTACACGTATGTAGTGGAAACCCACCTTTATAAGTACGGCTCTGAGGTATGGTACCTATGCGTATTACAACTACCGCCGCCGCCGTCGGGTCTATAATGACTCTAATCGTGGTTTATGGTCGCGGTACATGTGCGCGGTATACGCCGCACAGCGTATATTTATAAACCGCGGTACCAGACTGTAACCGTTTGTTTCACGGCGTATTTAGGGGGCGACGGTTTATTAATATTCGTGTGCAGCAGCAGCAGCTGCCGTCGAGTCGGATGCGAAGGCGAACGGCGAAAAATCTGTCGCACAGGTCGCGGGAAAAACGACAGATAACAGTAATAACAACAATATAGCTGCGGCGCGTATTGCGGTGCGACAATGTATTATAGTTACCTGCAACACGACGACGATGATGATATTATAGTCGCACCGGTTTCCGAACCGGATCGGAAGGGGGACAGCCGCCGAACCGGGAGAGGGTGAACCCCGCACCGCGCCCATTGGTCCGCGCCATGCACGCCGGCCGGATTGGTCGCGGCGGCCAGCACGTGCGGGCGATACCTATGCGCTCGTACGGCGTCGGGGGCCGAACACCTGTCCGCGGCGGGCGCGCGCCCTCCGCAGCCGCCGCAGCAGCAGCAGCAGCCGTCGCCGTCGCCGCCGTGATCGTTTGGTGGGGGGAACGTGGAACCATACAGAACCACCTCTTCTCTCCCGGAGGCGCGCCGACAACTCGACGCATTCTCTTCGGCGACCCACACCGGAGAACGCCGCCGCACCGCATCTCAGTGAGTTCGACGCCGGTGCACCACGTACATCACGACGCCGCACATTCCAGTCGTCGTCGCCGTCGCCGTCGCACACGTGTTCCGTCGTCAGAAGAAGATTTCTCAGCGGACACTAAATATTATTTTTTTTTTTTTTTTATCTCGACGATATTACTTACAGTAACTCTACCACAGTTTATCGGATCGGTTTTTTTGGGAAATTTTTTTCGAAAATTTTCGTTTCCCGTCACACACACCCGAACCTGTCGGGTGAGTGCGTAAAATGCGTATTTTCGAAGATCGACCGGCAACAATGATGCACCACGAGTTGACTTCGAAGAAGATGGATTACTCGCACTGCCCGCTCAAGAAACGTCCCGTGCACTTTGTCAAATGCGAGTACATCAAAGACGAGATGGATTTCGGTAATTGCAGATATATTTATATATTATATAAGAGACCATAAGTCGAGTGGGGGAATAACCGTCGAGGAATATATTATTTTTCCGCGGGGTGATATTTTTGAGATTTATTTTATCCGACACTCGTGCGAAAGTGTGTGGCTTGATGTGTCGTTTTTCGGCACGTTTTATCGTATTATTTGTCGAGAGAGATTTGTCTGATGAGAGGTAGGCGAGCTCCGGAGGACGTCTCGTCCGCGACCCTTTTACATTATTCAAAAATATTCACTTGCTCTTCGTTATGACATAATATTAAATAAATAAATAATACGCGACGACGTGCGATGGGAACCGGTGCGCCGCCGACCGTGGGAAATGCCCTCCGAGGGTGACCCTTTTCCTCTTTTTTTTTTCGATTCGGTTTTCGCAATGCGCTCACTATTCACCCCTCGCCAAATAGTAATAATAAATATTAAATAAACCGTTATAGTGTAAACGAGGTGATGAAACGACACGACCGTTTACTATGCACCCGATCTGCACATGTACGACGTCACCGCTATAATAGTACGACACTGATTTTTTTCTTAGCACTATTATAGTATCGGACGGACGAAATATATTATTATTATTATCGCGTCGGCTGAAAATGAAATAAAAAGTACCCCCCCCAAAAAAACCACTCACAAGTGATTTAAATACCTACTCGAGATAGAAAAACCGATCGATTTCGATGGTATATGACTCTTAACAATATTATAATGTTTTCGGTCGGACCATGGGCGTGTTCCCCTGCCGGCGCCGATATTCTTAAACAATAATGTTATTACCTGAGGAGCGAGTATTATCGACTTCTCCACATAATAATAATATATTGTATTATATATAGGTTATACGCACGTCTCGGGCTTGCGATCTATTTCGTTTTCGGTAGACTTAAACGAGAAGTCCAAAAAAATCTAAAACAAATAGGTAGGTACCCATACTGAGCGTATACAATTTTATTACAGTGATAACCACCCGCCACAAAATCCCAAACTACCCACCTCGTTCGGTAGACAGCAAAAATCTCTGTCCTTGTACGATAAAATACCAAAAATTATTCATTTTTCCACACACGATAATATAATGAGATGTCACTTTATGCGTTTAATTCATATTATAATATATTATAATAATTCATATTATATAAATATTGATTTTTTTCGCCATATTTACTGTGGACCAATATAAAATCAAATAAAAGCTCGAAGACGATAAAATTTCTTTTTAAAAAAAAATATCACACCGATTCGAATAATAAAATATTAATCTTTTTTTTTGTTTTTGCGCAGACAACGCGGACGAATGTTTGGAACCGGAAAACCTGAGCACTAAACCGCAAGATCTGAGCGTGAAAATCAAATCGGAACCGATCGCGTCGGTGGTGGTGAAAAAAGAATCGCCTCCGCACGAAAACGCCGAGGCGCCTATGCAGCCGTCGTCGTCTCCGTACTACATCCCAAACCCACAACAACAACAACAGCAACAGGAGCAGCTACAGCAGCACCAACACCAACAGCAAATGCGGCAGCAAGAACAACAGCATCACCACCGCGTCGCAATGCAACAGCAACAACCGTTCCAGCCGACGGCCGTCAAGGCTGCGGGCCCGCTGGAACCGCTGTGCCTGAACATCGCGGGCGACCACCACCCGGCCGCCGCGCAGGCCGCGGTCGCGACGTACCATCACCACGCACACCGGCAATACGCGCCGGCCATAGCGCCGAGGCCCGTGCCCGCCCAGTACCCGAGTACCGGTTACCTGTCCGGTTACATGTACCAGCACGGCGGCAGCGCGATGTTGGTCGCGGACAGAGCGTACCCCGTGCCCGCGGCGGTCCCGTACCCGCCCGCCATGATGGCCGTCGCCAGAGACGCTTCGCTGTCGCCGCCCGGCACCGCGGGCCGCACCGGTTCCGCCTTCAAGCCGCTCATGCAGCTCACGTCGCCCGGCGGCGCGGTCACGCCGATGCGCAGCCCGCCCGCGGCCTTGCCGCTCAGTTGGTTCGGGCGTACCGCGGTCAGCGGTTGGTCGCCGACGTCCGTGGAAGCCATGGACGCGTCGCCGCCACTGCCCACGCCGTCGTCTGCGTCGTCGGCTTCGGCCATATCGCCGAGCTACCAGCACCAGCACCAGCAGACGGCGCCGGCGCCACAACAGCAGTACCAACTGCACTTGTACTCGGGCGAGAGCGACGCGACGACCACCGCGTCGTCGTCGTCCGTCGGCGGCGGAGGAGACGCGATGGCGGCGGCCGTCAAGCGCAAGTCGTCCAGCGTGGTGGTCGCGGCCCGGTACAAGTGCGCCGCGTGCGCGAAGACGTACTCGACCGTGTCCGGGCTGACCAAGCACCAGCAGTACCACTGCGCGGACGACGAGGCGCAGTGCGCCGCGGCCAAGACGTTCCGGTGCAAGTACTGCGACAAGGCGTACAACACGCTCGGCGCGCTCAAGATGCACATCCGCACGCACACGCTGCCGTGCATCTGCAAGCTGTGCGGCAAGGCGTTCAGCCGGCCGTGGCTGCTGCAGGGCCACATCCGCACGCACACCGGCGAGAAGCCGTTCTCGTGCCAGCACTGCAACCGGGCGTTCGCCGACCGGTCCAACTTGCGCGCGCACCTGCAGACCCACTCGGACGTGAAGAAGTACTCGTGCCCGACGTGCAGCAAGACGTTCAGTCGCATGTCGCTGCTCACCAAGCACTGCGACACCGGATGTCCCCGACTGTTGCCCCAACACCAGCAGCAGCAGCAGCAACAGCAACAGCAGCAACAGCAACAGACGGTTTAGACCGCCGCCGCGCTAACCCTGCCCCTCATTATTGCGTACAATAAATTATATGTTAAATTATTATTAAACATATCTTTATATTATATTATTATCATATTCGTTTATGGTTATTATTATTTTTTTGATTATTATTATTATACCAATTATTATTATTATTATTTTTTTTTTTTGTCGACACGGGCGCATCAACGATTTTAAAATTTTATTTCGCCCGAACGAGCTTGTCGCGAGTATTATTCCTATATTATGTTTGTACCTAATTGTGTTGAAAACCGAAAGAAAAAAAAAAATTGGTACTTAAATCATCTTTGCCCCGACATAATATATTATTATATAAAATGTTTTATTTACTATTAGACGTACGCTAGTCACTTTACTATATCATGGATAATCATAACTGCACTGTGTTAGACGTTAAGTTCATTTTTTCTCCAATAACTTATACTATAAACTATTATTATTATTATTTTCATTATTATTATTATTATTATTATCTTGTTTGTAACGGGTACGCGCAGACGACTGCAAGTGCATAATGCAGCTGCAGTGCAGCAGTGATACTGCACTGCAGCTATATATGACGAGGTGACGTGTTAATATCAAAACAATATAATAATTTACAATATTATTGTGCCGTTGTGATATTATATCGTGAAAATCCTAAACGTCCCTTCGTCGTACCCGGAGGTGCCTAACTATAATATTATTATATTTTAATATTATGTACCTATAACATATAATATTTTGCTTTGGCCAACTATTACGATAAATCGCTCTTATATAATATTATTATTATTATATACACACACGACGGAAATTTATTATTACTCGTGCCTGTGTCGTATTATTTTGTTCTCATAATATAATAATATTATACTCGTCACTGTAATATACATTATATATATATGGACTGCTCCGATGTACTATATATTGTAATTAAGTCGCCATATACACATAATATATAATAATGTTTAACTAGTCGTTCCCGTCGTCGTGTATAAAATATATATAAATATATACATGTGTATAACCTAGTCGCACGATCGTGCGCAGTTATAACGACTCATATTATAATAATGTCATGTACAATAATAATAATATTACGTCTGATTTGTATATCAATTATTATTATTGTCGTATTTATAATTATTATTATTTTTTTTTTTCTCGAATATTATACTATTATTATTTTTCTGTATTATTATTTAACCAACACATTATTATACATATTATTTTGTCGAACGACCGTGTTTATATATTTTCATTTAATAAAACGAAAAATGTGATACATAAACATACATGCTGCGTTGTTGGATTATTTAGTTCCGAGTTTTTCGAGCCCTCATCATCGTAGTCGTGCGGTGATTTACGAATAGACGACGACGACGATCACCGCACGATAAGCATATATAATAGTCAAATGCTGGGCATTAAAGAGTTAAAAAGTTAAAATTAAATTTTGTCTTTTTTCACACATTAATAACTAATAACAATCCTACTAAATTGTAATAAAATACTTAGGAAATCCTTAGATTTAATTTTTTTGACATACGATAACCAACGAGTTAAAAAGTTTAAAGAGTGTAAAAACTTAACTAGTCACTTTTGTGAATTGTTTCAAGTTAAAAATGTATATCATTCAAATCTATAACTTATATGGAAATACTGTATAAAGTATAAACACTATATAGTCTATAATTTAGTTTTGGGTTGGAAAAAATGTAATCACGCTAACGTTGTATAAACAAATTCAATTTTTTGGTAACTTAATAAAGAGTTGACAAAAAGTGTGTCTTAACTGAGTTAACCCATAGTCGAATCGTCTTTTGACTTTTTGTTATTGGTGCATATTAACTGCAGAGTTAACAAAAAAATCATTAACTTGCCCAGCAGCTCTGTACAACACTATCACATGATAGTATATGTATTATTATTATTATTATAAGTACCTGCAACTGCAGTGCTCTGACAGGGTTCTGAATAATATATAGGGTGAACAGGTTTATCGTTATTATTATAATTTTTTTTTTCTTTTCCGTCTTCTACTTTTCCACGATCGTCGTCGTCGACTACCTGCCGATCGCGGGGCGGTGCGTGTCAAAAACACGCGTGAGAAACCCACGAACGGATGTGCAGGCGGCGACCGGGATAATAATATATATAATATTATGTATCGGGATGCAAACATTCGAAATCCCATCGGTTCGTCGTCGTCGTCGTCGACAATGGCCCGGATTTCTTGTTTGTGTCGGGTCAGTAGCGATTTTTGAAGGAGCGAACCATAATATACGATATAGGTATACCCGTCACACGCCGCGGCGATGAATGCAAACACCGACGTACAGTAAGAAAGGGAAGGGCAAAGAGGAAAAGACGAAGAAAAAAAGTAGGTAGTCCGTATATAGTGCTGCGTACATAACATAATATGTGTATACATGTGTATATATTATATTATTATATTATGTGGGTGAGGTGTATATACCTACACACACTCACGAAAATACGAGTGGTGCTCCGCGGGTTCTCATCAGAACCGATCGGGTGTACGTTTCCCAGCGCATTACCCGACCGAGCTGGAATACAACCTGTCTACCTGCAGAGCGGGGGCGGCGCATTTCTGCAGACCGCGAATTGACACATATCATACAATATAGTAATAATAATAATATGATGTTTCAATGAACCTAGTCGTTCGCCATTCAGAAATTTCGTCCCGAAAAAAAACAACCTGCACCGCGGCTGGCCGATTATAATAATATAGATATCACATTATATATAATGTATACCTACGCGTTATACGCGTGTGAAAATATTTGATTGACTCGACCGTTTACTACCTGTTGTAGTTATAGTACAAAACCATATTATTATTATGGGGCATAACTGCACGAAATTTACTTGAAAATTATTGATATCGCGTTTGGGGGCACAACGAGTAGCGCAACTACTGCAGACAGCATTCCAATTTTAGATTCTGAGCGGAGCAAGGCAAGGAAGCTAGTGGTTTTACAATGGTGTTTATTTTTTTTTTTATTTTTTTTATATCCTGTATACAAAATTTCTACCAGAAGGAGTGCTTTGATTTCAACATATAGTACCTTATCTTTTAGCAAATTGGACCAAGATGGTACTTTAGAGAGGTCATTTTTCGATTTTCTCAATAGTTATTTAATGCCACGGGAAAAAGTACTGAAAAATTACGAAAAACCGCTTAAAATGGGATTTTAATTTCTAACAATTTGTTTATCACCGTAGCAACGAATAAAAAAACGGCAGGTTCAATAAATTGTTACAATAATAGTTATAAACCAGGAATAACGATTTTAATTATTTTGTTGTAGTTTATAGTATTAAAACAACTTACATGTTATAATAATTAATGACAATATAAAATATACAGACTGACAAACCGTCTCCGTTCAGAATCGTTTTTCTTATACAATGATATTATATCATTGAATTCAAGTTTAATACAATCCATTAAACAATGACCAACTTGTAACCTACTGTACAGCTGAGCGACATCCACTTACCTGCCTTTTTACTTTTATTTTGAATCCGAAATTACTCACAAATCAAATCGTGTATATTTGAAGTGGAGCGTACGTTTTCGTATACACAATAAAACAAATAAATCATGAAAAGAGACTGGAAAAAGATACAGTTTGTACAAAAATAAAGACTAAGTTTTGCGGAAAAAAAACTATTAATAAAATGTAAAATAAATTGAAATTGAAATTAATAAAAATGTTTCGAGGCGAAAAAAATAATTAATCGCATTGAAATAATAGTATCTAGAATAAATCAGAAGTTTAAAAAAAAGCACAGGTACATCCCAAAATAAAATTAGTGCGTTTTTTTTATTAAACACTATATATTTTTGGATAATTTTGGAAGACTATTGAGCAAACCTCCTCGTGGTGAATTCTAGGTATGGCTAATAGGATCGGAAATATAGTATAATATACAATGAATTATTTGTGTTCAAGTGTGTGTTATTTCAAAGAGAAATATTACACCCAAACTTTGTTGTGCCCTATTTTTGGTAAATGTGCCAAACGTGCTGCGCCCATATTATAAACGTATTATATTTAGACCCCTTTGAGTACCAAGAATTATAATGTATATATAATGTAATATCATTGACATTGTGAATTAATGCCCTCGTATATGAGTTCTCAACAGCCCCTATTACAATATAAACACCGAAATAATAATGCTAACGATTAACGAAACAAAAATGTCGAAAATATATTGTTACAAAACAATTTCATAAGTGGAACCGGAGATCGAGAGAGAATAAAAACACTATTGATAAATGAAATTTTTAGTAACCCTCAGTGGACACACCAAGTCGTGATCAATTGACTAAGACTTGGGGTATACTCATAGAATTAACCCATAACTACTATACTTTATATTGACAAAAGGAAAACGTCCTATAAATGGGCTAAATGCATTTCCTGCCGATCAGTTATAGCTGTGTATTTATAGATGTATTTACGCCATTAAACATTTAATATCTCTCACGGTTCGTATTTATATGAAGCGATACCACTAAAAGACGTCGACGTTTATATAAAATGTGAGTACAGGACAAAGTACAGGATAAAGTAATAACAAATAATACAATTCTTAAAAGAAATCCACTATAGAAGGATAATGGCATATTATAATTTATAGGCAGGGCAGTTCATTAGCGCTCCTGGCCATTTATCATATTTCCGCCCTTGTAAAATTTGTTTAACCCCCCCCCCCTCTCACACACCTACACACATACATAAAAGACTTATGCATTCGTTATTTTATTTTTAATACTAAAAATTATAATTTTAATAAAAAAAAAAAATAATAAACACTGCCAAACTTATTATAAAATAAATTAAAAAAATTACTTTTTACATTTCAAAATTTCACTTCTCGTGCTTTTTTGGTAGTATAAAATTAAACTCCACTTTAGCTGAAGGTTTATATTTTTTTTTATTAAGAGTATACTAGTA